TCTTATCTTTGGTTTTTCTATAATGCTCAGCACAGATATGCTGAAGTAGAGGCACATTAGACCTGTATGAGAGCATCCACAGCGTACGCACTTCATTTGTTAAACAGAAGTGAGTCAGCAACCACCTAGTCCTCCCAAAGGAGTTTTATTTACAGAAGGAGCCACACCATCCGGGGCTGGTTCACCTGCACATCTACCAATGTGATATATGCCATCACGTGCCAGCAATGCCGCTCTGCCATGTACATTGGCCAAACCGGACAGTCTCTAAGCAAAAGAATTAATGGACACAAATCTGACATCAGGAATCATAACATTCAAAAACCAGTAGGAGAACACTTCAACCTCTCTGGTCACTCAATAAGAGACCTCAAAGTGGCAATTCTTCAACAAAAAAACCTTCAAAAACAGTCTCCAACATGAAGCTGCAGAACTGGAATTAATTTGCAAACTAGATACCATCAGATTAGGCCTGAATAAAGACTGGGAGTGGTTGGGTCATTACAAAACCTAAACCTAATTTCCCCAATACTAATTGCTCCCTACTGTTACTCACACCTTCTGGTCAACTGTCTGCAATGGGCCACTCTCTTACCACTTCAAAAGTTTTTTTTTCCTCCCTTGGTATCCTGCTGTTAATTGATTTCTCTCGTTAGACTGACTTAACACTTGGTAAAGCAACCCTCATCCTTTCATGTATTTATACCTGCTCCTGTATTTTTTACTTCTGTATCTGATGAAGTGGGTTCTAGCCCACGAAAGCTTATGCCCAAATAAATTTGTTAGTCTCTAAGGTGCCACAAGGACTTTTTTTTTTTTTTTTTCCCATGAAAATACGTGACTTAAATGAAAGACACTGTCCACACAGGAATCAGAACTCCATAGCAATGACAATTTAAATACAACTGGAGCTGGTCTACATACAGTCTTTATTACAAATATAATCAACGTAGAAACTGATTAAAGTGGTGCAACACCCCAGTGTGGACACAATTATAGGGATATGAAGCATTATATCAGTGACGTTTATTCCAGGGAAGCACTTTTATACTATTGTAATAGCATCCACACTAGGAGATTTTACCCCTTTTAACTATGTTGAAATAGAAACTAGCATAGCTAAGCAAGGCAAAAACTGCGTGCAGACAAGCCCACGCTGCTAGCAGGATTCCGGCACCATTTCCCTATACCACGGGCAGAGATTGTGTGTGTGCGCGCGCATCATGTTATGAAACTGTGCTATTCCTCAAAGGGAGCCTAGCCTGTCTCCTGAAGACTCACTTCTTCCATGATGCCCACAAGTAGTGAGTCATTTAAAAAAAAAAGTTACATCTACTTCTCTGGCACACAGCGTGTCTACTCTGTGTCTGTCTAGTGTAGACTGAAAGCTCTTTGGAACTGGGATTGTTAATGCTTGTCATTAATAACACCGCGCAGTAAAATAAAAACAAGTCCCTCCCCATTCAAATTAGAAAAGCCATTCTAGAATCACTCCTGTAACAACCATGTTTATACAGTTGATGGTAGCAGAATCCTGAGCTCCCCCACCCCTCAGACAGATACATAGATCCATGGTATAAAAGTCTGAAGACATAGGAGGTCTGAAACCTCATTTGATCTCTGCTGAATATGCCAAGAATAGGAGACTTAAAACCTACTGCTGTAATTTTTCCACAATATGAAAAACCTGGACAGATGGCTCTTAAGTATTTTGACTTTTTTTTTTTATTAATAAACCAGATCAGTCTTCAGCATGTCCTTCCAATAACATCACATGGTCTATCCCTATAAGGTTACAGTTACGTCCCTACTTCTGCTGGGAGAATATTTTAAAAAAAGCTTTCAAAAATGAGTCAAGAGCTGCCCAAATTGTAATCTTATAATATCACAAAACAAGAGTTTCCTGCCAGTACACAAATGCAGACACAGATCCTGTGACCATATTCAAAGACCATTGTTATCAGTCAGAAAGTTTATAGACATTTGCTCATTTGAAGGGACACAGGCAGGTAGATTAACTCCAGAAGTTATGGTTTTGTAAAAATGAGAAGGTTTTACATAAACCTGATATTAACATAAATGTTTGCCTTTTTTTAAGAAAACAGTTCTGTTTGGATTTAAATATCCCCCTTTACCATTGTAATTCTAAGCTCCACAGTTAGTGGACAAAAACCAAAACCGGACTACAAACAAAGGTGAAACTGAATACTGTTTTCATTTCAAAAGGAGAATGAAATTGAAAAAAGAAAAATAGTGAAAAGTAAAAGGAGAGTTTTAGAAAGATCAGTTTTAATCTCAGTTTTTGGTAACATGAGGAAATTAATTGGTTTTTAAAGGAAACATTTTTAAAACAACACTTCTACCCTTTAACATGAGGAATCTGGGTATAGTGGACTGTATAGCTGTTTGGTTTTTGGGGGGAGGGTAAAAATAAAAGTAGTTTACTTTTATATATAAAACTGGGTCCCATCAGGCCAGTGTTGTGAATAATGCGCAGTCTGGATAGCTGAAACAGATTCCAAGTGGGTATAATTTATTTATCTAAACATTATAAAACCACACATAAAAATCAGGTGATTCCTTATGGACTACATGGACAAATATCATGTCTTCCAGATTAACAGAAATCACTGCTGAGAAATTGTAAAACTGCATCACAAAGGAAAAACAAAAGAATGAACCACTGACTCCAGAACTTCATAAACTACCACAGAGAGTGAACGAAAAACAGAAACGATAGCATTAACAGCCATACAACCTCTTTCATTTACATCCCTGGGACAGAGAAAAAAAGTCAGCTGCTTCACAGAGTAGGCAAAGAGTTTTTCCAGTTGAAAAGTACCACAAGAACCACCAAAAGAGGATGTTTACTAAGGGAACAAAGGAGCCACTAACCAAACAGAAGCATTAACCTATATCATCATCAGGATGGTAACTGTACCCAGACCCCGTGGCTTTGCAATTAGTCATACTTTTTGTGAAACAGATAAAAATAAAAATCCATAAAACAATGGTTAGGAAAATAACATTCAGACAGAGTCTGGGGTTTGCAATGAAATCTGCACATTCTCCCTGTATGTACATATTGTCAAACAGGCATCCCCACATCTAATGTGACAGTTTGCTACAGTTACCAAAGAACAAACACTCTATACAAACACTCCTTAGAGAGGTTGAGGAAATCAGACCCAGAAGTGCGAGTTTAAAAATAATCAGTAGAATATGGAACATTCTTTCACATTGACAGCCCCTTAAAGCAAGACAGGACAAAAAAAAAAAAAAGCCTGGAATAAGAAGAAAACAATCAGATCATAGTGAAGCCAAATTACGAGTCTAAACAACTACAGGCAAGGCCCTGGGGAACGGGCCACAGTTTCAGATTACAACGTTTTATCTTCAGCTTCTTGATGCATCTCACCCCTGGCCTGATGAGAAATGCTTCAGCTCCTGCCAGAACTATGACGTGAGGATGGTATCTGGGTATAATGGAGAGGGAGGGTGTGGGACGGAACAAGAGGATTTCATACTCCTCTCCAGCCCAGAGGTGACTTCTGCAGAAAGCATTTAAATGCACACAACCAAGGACAGGTTTTTCATAGTTCTAAAACAGAGATTCAGAGTGGGAGGTTAGTAAACTAATTTTCAAGAGGGTGTCTAATTATTAGACGCTTATACCACCCTACCATCAATGCTCTGTCCAAAATTCACTATAAAGGGGGCACCAGTTCCCAAATACAGAAGGCTTGAAGAAAGCCAGTCCCAGGCAATACTAGTACCTTACAGCCCCAACCCTCCCTATCACGCTTAGTATCATCTTTTGCTCCACCATCCCCCAAATTCAAGGTCTTGCTGATCCCATTTTTCACGTCCCTGTCTAAAATCCATTCTTCCCGCTCCAGCACAACAGTTAGAACCCTAGCCTGTACCTTGGTCACCTCCCACATCTCACCTCAACCCTCCAAGTCTATTCAAAACATTGCTTCCAAAAAAAAGAGTCTTCCCATAAGCTGCTCCAACTATGTTACCCCACACTCCTTCCTCAAATCCCTTCACTTGCCTTCCTGCTGAGTTATTAACCACGCTCATTTTATCCAGTGCCATAAATGTACACAGCACTTCACAAACAGAAAGAGACAAGGCACAGGACAACAGTTTCGAAAAATCAAAAGTGTGGAGAGGGAGGAGAACAAAGTAGGAGAATTCCTGGCAGGAGATGGTTTTAAAGCAGCATTTGGAGCAGAGAGAAGGACCCTTCGTAAAGCAGGAAGAAATGAGTGCAGAGATTCAGGGGGCTGCAGCTGTTTGGGCTCAGGACAGCAGCTGGGGCAGGGGAGGATGACAACGACTGTCTGCCTGGCACCTTATGCCATGGAACTGTCATTCAGTCAGAACAGGTGGAGTATCAGGGTGTATACCTGGTTAAGGGGGCATGGGGAATCCCCCATCTTTTAGGGATTTGGTATATTCGCAAAGCGCCAAGAGCGTCTTTCTTTGTTTAATTTGGGGGTTTAGAGGGTCTATCAGCAAGGACACAGAATGGCAAATTGGAGGGCTAACCCAGTTTGGTGGGGTTAGAGGGCTCTCCATGTCTGAACAAGGA